CGTTGATGATTCGATCAGTCGATCCTATGCCTCGGTGGGTGAGCAGTCTGTGGGTGACCAAACCTTTGATGATACGTTGACATTTGGCAGCGCAACCGTCCAAGACCTTGGAAGCTTGGTGTCATTCCCATCACAAACAATGCCATCGCTACTTTATAGAGAAACTTCAAGCGACGAGGACCAGTACGACGGGCAGACAATACTTTCGTCCCATGCTTCTGGAGCATACATACCACCACCTGAAGCATCTCAGGAGCAGTGGGCCATTTCGCCGCACCCTGGCCTTGTAGCCGATAGTATATTTTCCATGTCAACTGGATGTACGGATAGTATATCTTATCGACATATCGAGGAGGCACGGGCAAGTCGTGATATATCTTCTAAACCTGCTGCTTCCAGGGACGGTAATGTGGCTGCATACAGCAAGAATGGAACCGAACACTTACTCTCAATTGTGGAACCCCCAAGAAAGCTGCTCCCAGTACCACCTGCGCCACTCAAAGCTGCCTATTCTGACGTTTCTGACTGCGATTACGAAGCAGAGGACTATTTGCCAGGAAATTTCGTGTGCAAGCTATGCAGTGACGTAATTGTCGGTGCCTTGTCACTCAATTGCGGTTGCGCATCATCGACTGTATGTTCGCTTTGCTGGGAAACGAGGGATCCGGAAACGTTCAAATCGAAAGAGGCTGTGGATAAGCTAGGGTATGTGATAGTGCAGGATGGCAAACGATCCCTGCCATCGTGTCCATCTTGTACAGATAAAATTGAATCCAAAATAAATTGTCACGCTCTGGACGTGGCGATTTTCCAGATTGTGCTGAACTTGCCAGGGATAGATGACAAAGTCAGAAGCTTGAAAAATGCTTACTTTTCTAGGCTCGAAGGCTGGAGAAATATCGTCATCGAACGTAACGAAAACATAAAACGCCAAGAAGAAATGCTGCGAGACGAACTATTGGCCAGGCTTCTTCAAGAAGAGGAAGAACTATTTTATGGTGGACAGCAAGTCCAAGAAAAAGCAGTTGCCAGAGAGCAATATAATGGTCTTCTATTCTGGAGTCAAGCAGCCTTGGCAGTGGTTGTTGCAACACTAGCCTCGATTGGTTTGAAGGCAGTTGCAAGACGGTGATTCATTAACATGTTTTCTCTTGACAAATTTCGCTCAATCAAAAGAAGAGTTATATCTCTATTAATTAAGCTAGCCGGAGCGTTATAATAACACTTAGTTTCCTACGTCAACTCTAGGTCTGAGATGTATTCTTCGTTATAGCCGCCACCAGAGATCAACTCATTTGAGTATCTCTCTTGTCTTCCTGTGCAGCCACAGATCTTTCGACATGGCCAACAAATACAACGAGTAACTCCACAAGTTGCTGAAACTAGGATTCGACACATACCGGCACAGCAGCCATGGGGATTCTCCAACATTTGCTGGGCCGTTATTATCGCAAGGCATAGACCGATTCCTCCGCAGATTCCCAATGCAATGACAACATTTCTATCGTGTTCCATTTCCTCGATTGGCTCTCCATGATCAAAATAGATATAGTCCCCAATTGAACCAGTACCATCAATCGAACTTCCACCTTGCATGTCATCCTTTTCTCCTTGCGTGTCGTCCTCTCCGTCGGTATAGTCATCGTCCCTTTCTTCCGGGGGAATGTAGGCAACTGGTTTCGAGCTCGGTTCAGGGTAATTCCAAGTTGGAACGTTCTGCAAAGAGGTTGGTGCATAGGTAGTAGTTGATCCAAATTCCTTGGAAGGAGTGAGTGTTGGCAATGGAGCATATGAGTTTTGATCATATGTCGGTTGACCATAAGTTGGTCTTCCAAAGTTGTTTTCACCAATCGGTGTTTGGGATGGGCTGAAGTACGAAGGAAGACCTCCACCACCTGCACCACCACTGAACGCTGGCGATGGGGCAGTTGATCCGTCACGATCCCATGGAAAGTTTCCATCGTCATCTTGATCCCCGTTGATGCTCTCATCTGCTCCAACTAGATCGGTCTCTCCGTCGGTGTCATCAGAAGGACTATCATTGTCGTTGTTGCCATTCAAAGCTCCATCAAGCCCGGTGCTATTCTGATTCCCAGAATCAGTATCATTGAGCCCATTCATCATGTCCATGTCAATATCCATGCCCGTATTATCCATGTCCATGTCGTCCATATTCATCTCGTCATCTATAGTCATGTTGAAACCATCAAATTGTTTACCATCTCCAAACTCGTCTGTTCCATTGGTTCCACCAGCATTCATAGGATTGCTATTATAAATGGCGTTTCCATCTTCATCAAACTGATTGGGATCGGTGATTTGTTGACCATGACCTCCGCCTCCAAGCAAGGGACTGTCATCTGTACCGTTTGTTCCAGAGTCGCTATAAATCGCATTTCCATCTTCATCAAAATGATTGGAATCGGTGATTTGTTGACCATGACCTCCGCCTCCAAGCAAGGGACTGTCATCTGTACCGTTTGTTCCAGAGTCGCCATAAATCGCATTTCCATCTTCATCAAAATGATTGGGATCAGTGATTTGTTGACCATGACCTCCGCCCCCAAGCAATGGGTCGTTCTCTGGACCATCGCCTTCTTGTTCATAGGCAATTCCATCAAGATTATCTTCCTCTGCTTCTTCTCCTGGAGGCGAATCTTCATAAATAGCTTTTCCATCTTCATCAAACTGATATGGATTCGTGATCTGTTGACCATGACCTCCGCCTCCAAGCAATGGGTCGTCCTCTGGACCATCGCCTTCTTGTTCATAGGCAATTCCATCAAGATTATCTTCCTCTGCTTCTTCTCCTGGAGGCGAATCTTCATAAATAGCTTTTCCATCTTCATCAAACTGATATGGATTCGTGATCTGTTGACCATGACCTCCGCCTCCAAGCAATGGGTCGTCCTCTGGACCATCGCCTTCTTGTTCATAGGCAATTCCATCAAGATTATCTTCCTCTGCTTCTTCTCCTGGAGGCGAATCTTCATAAATAGCTTTTCCATCTTCATCAAACTGATATGGATTCGTGATCTGTTCGCCATGGCCACCTGCACCTAGCAAAACATCAGCATCTGGATCGTCAATATTGTTTTGTCCATTGAGCATCTCGTACGCTGATGTTGGGGGACTCGTATTCAAACCCTCTAAACCACCTATGAGTTGCCGGTTTCCTGAGAGTCTAGCATCTGCCTGATGCCCAACAAGTGCTACCAATATCAAAGTAGAGAGTGGAACATGCATTTTGGTTTTCATAGTGGTTGTTTCGCCCACGAACCAATGCTTTCTCATTTTTGAATTGGCACTGTTTCTGTACACGTGTACGTGCTCTCCACGAATGAACGAATGAATGAAATGGCTCTGAAAACTTGAACTTAGTTGTTATTGACATTGTATCCACTAATCATGCCCACATTTAGATGCCATTTGTTAGGAGCACAATGTCAAAGATGAGGCAAACAAAAACCAAGCCGACGAAACATTGAAAAGAACCCATGTTTTTCTTTCCGATTCCAGTCGAAGTCCAAGGACACGTATGATCAAAATCTTCTATAATGACGCCAGTGTCTGGGTCGTAAAAAGCTCCTCTTGGTCGGAAAGAATGAGTCCGATCACTCCATCTCCAATTAGCGTCTGCCGAGGGTGGCGGCTTGTCATATCTTGGAAGAATACCTGGATCTCGAAAGGCTGTCATTGACAGGGATACAATCAAGCCAACCGTACAAATGAGCCACACTAGCACGATACCCGGATGGGTGTATGGAATCCGTTTCACCAAAGTCAGCCCAGAAACAACAAAAATAATGGGAAAGGTGACAAAGAAGAGCATGGGCCAATACTGTAAAGATGCGAAAGGGAAATGATGAGAAAACCTTTGAGATGATGCAGATGTACAAACAAGAATGAATCCTTGCTCTTACCGGTCCAATGACAAAATCCAACCTAGGCCTCGTGAAGCGTTTGGTGCGTGGTTGGCCATTTTCATCTTCCTCTATTTCTTCCACCCATTCGGTAGACTGCTTCAACACAGCAATATTTCTAAAGATTGATTAAATCATTCGAGAAACAGCAAAACGATGAGGTTACCATCTCATCCAATATACATTACAACAGCTTATGGGTTCTCTCTCCTTACCCGATTCGCCCAGCACCAATTTTGCTACACGCAAAGGCAGAACAACAAATACATGGCATTGAATCGTTTCCATTTGCAAGCTCCTTTAGCATGTTGCCTTGGAATCTGGATTTTTCTTCATCCCATGTGCGGACCATGCTTGCAGCAAATGGTCCTTCCTTCCATTCTTGAATTCGTCTATGTTTGGCTTCCTTTCGACTCTCCACTGCCATTGGATCCAACGATCCATTGTTGTCTGATGAAGTTGCAGCAGTCATTTGACTTTCGACATCTTCCAAAGTCTCTGTGAAAGGCATCATTTCCTCCTTTGCAGGACCTCCTCCTCGGCGGTGTGACATGATGTCTTTTGTGTTGTTTTATATTATATGTAAATAAATACTATGCTGACAAAAATGAATCGTTGGCACAACCGCAATATTCGGTAGATGACCACAAATTCTCTTGCTTGTTTTTCAAAAAGTTCCTCAAATCTGTAGTTGGCATTGCTGAAAGAAGAAATCAAAGCTTGATGTCTGACGACTAGTTCGAATAAATAACGGAATACGGAATAACACACATAATTTTATGATTCAAAATTCTGGATATTTTAAAACGATAGAGGAGGAACATCAGATCCGTGTCTACAGTCACTGCTGTTGTTTCATCTCTTCTGTGTCCAAGGATGATGTTTTCAACTTGCCTGAGAAAATGTACATGTGGTCGTTTCGCGTGTTTTGGATCCGACAGCATGAACATTCTCATGACAGCTAATAGCTTCGTGGCTATTACTATTATACAGTAGGTTACGTAAAACCCATGTGCAGGACAACAGTGTAAATGATGCACACTGGAACCATAAAGACAAAGGATTTGAAGTGCTTCATGTTACCGCCTCCAATTCCTGTTCCAGTCCAAGGACAACTGTAATGACGAAGCAAAGTGTAAGCAAACCCAAATAGAACAAGGGATAATTCCAGGCGAGGCTGAGTTTGTAACGTACGTATGATCAAATTCTTCAATAACCACTTGACACTCCGTATCAAAACGAGCATTTGATGGCCGATATGTCCTCGCTTGATCATTCCATTGCCAACTTCCTTCTTCTCCCGGAGGCGCTTCTTCGTGTCGATAAAGAATTCCTGGGTTGGTACAGGATACCAATAGCAAGGAGGCGCACAGAGCAAAGGTGCATAAACTCCAGGTGATAATGATAACAAAGTTCTGATAAATAACCTTGGTGAAGAGTGTCCAACCAGATATTCCCAGTATCAGTGGCCAGGTCAGACAGAGATTGACCGGCCAGTAAGGTCCGACCATGCAAACTGGCCGAGGTCGTTTCCTCTTTACCACTCTGTCTTCTCTCCCCTCGCTCTTTTCAACTGCTTCGTATTCTTCCATCGTGCTATAGAACACAGCCATGTTTCCAATTCGTCCCACACACGTCAGACAAGAGCCACAAACGACACCTGACCAAGCCACATTATCATTGCGCTTGTGTCCGGGTGGATGACTGAGGAATGGATTTTCATCCTTCCAGTCAATATTCACGCGACCGACCGCATAAATGCTATTTCTCCAATGCATCAGTTTTTGTTCTCTTGGATCGGAAGACTCTTGATGCTGCGCGTTCCCTTTCTTTCGCTTTGTGACTTTCTGCCCTTCCACGTCATCTGTTGTGGTGATTTCTTTGTTAACAGGAGTACCGCCTAACGCTGGTGTCTCGGAGAGCTGGGAACTGTCATCTTTAATGGTCATAATTTGAAATAGCGTTTCCAATATTCTGTGTTGTGTGTAGCTAGCGTGTTTTTAGTTTGCAAAGCAGCTCTTTCTACGACGACGGAGCAGTGAGGTCTGCGAAAGACCGATCGATTGATTACAGTAACCCGCAAGCTTTTGGAAGAAGACGAAGTTTTGCTGTAAAAGTATTTTTGTCAGTCACTCTGAAGTTTCGTTCTTTTTACCATGGTCCAGTTCGTGGTGTTCCGTTGCTTACCAATTTGCAAGTTGATTTCTACGAGCGTTGAAACAGCCATTTAACCGTAAAATCGAAACTCAGTTTGAACTTTCCACATGTTCAGTGTGTGCTCTTCCATTCACCTCAACAACAAATTGCAGGGATCTAAACATTGGAAAACAATTGACTTCTTATCCATTTCAAACGCAACTAAGGAACGGCAGAGCAAGTAGAGCTTTCCACTTCTATATTACAAGTTTTGGATCCGTAAGAACCACCTAAATTAACTTCCATTGCAGGTTCGTGACAGGCGAATGAATCAGGACTGAAAACTTGGATCTTGAAACCGAAAAGCCTACTGTATTGCTGAGCCTACGCAGACTACAAAACCAACAGCACCAACAGTAATAACAGAAAACTATTACAATGAAGTATGCACAAGTAGGAAATGATGCAGACGAGCGCAATGACGGCGTATCCGTAGCCAGCAGCAAACGAAAGTTTCGACGCCATCGACGAGTCAATTCAGGTCTCTCGGAGCCTCTCACGGCGGCTGACTCTTCGGTCGTCGACGAATCCTTGGGAAGTGGGGCCGTCAACGGGGATCCTTATTTCGTATTTCGATCAGACTTGCAAGACAAGCTAGAGTTGGTGGATGATGCCTTGGCGGATTTCTTGCGAGTGGTTCATGAAACTGTGAGTTGATATCTTGCGGGGTTCTACAGTAAGGTCTGATGATATACTGTAGTACATTTCTGACCCTTCATTCATTATTTCACCTTTCAACGCTACTCGTTTCATTCGAATAAAATCATACACAACGAATTATCGTAGGATACTGCTGTCAACACACAGGAGTTGAAAGATGCCAGAAAGAAACTGAAGCGACATTTAAAGAATGCCGAGTCGACGCTCCGAGATGTACAGGCAACTGTACAAGCAGTGGAAAATGATCGAGATAAATTTCAGTACCTGGATGATAGTCAATTATTTGAACGCAAATCGTTGGTGAATACATCAAGAGACCGAATCTCGAAGGCGAAAGAAGAAATCACTTCGGAAGCTGTCAAACTGAAAATGCTAGAAGATGAGAAAAACAAGGCCATTCGGCGGTCTGGTGATGGAACCTTGGGGGCAAAAACAGACGTGCAACGACATAATACTGATTTCGTGCTCAATAACCAAGCGCAATCATCAGTTTTGATGCAACAACAAGATGAAACCTTGGATGAATTGGGGGATGCAGTGGTGCGAGTGGGAGAAATGGCAGGAACCATTCACGAAGAAATTGAAATGCAAAATCAAATGCTAGATGAATTAGATGAAGATATGACAAGAGTCGAAGAAGAATTGGGCATGGTGATGGGAAAGCTTGCGGTATTTCTCAAGACCAAGAATAAATGTCATCTTCGAACAATCCTGATGCTCTGTTTGACTGTGGTTGTCCTCTTCTTCCTCGTCCTTTACACATAGACTTGCTCCTCCTAGATGTAACTTTACAAATATGATAGATATTTACCTAAAGCGCATAAGGTTGTTCGGTGTCGAATACCACGCTTTTCTGATTGATGGTGCAAGGTTGCAAACAAATCAATCAGTACTGAGAAGCTAAAGTAAGCAGATGAAATTCTGTTACCTGGGCTCTATGTATTCTTTATGGTTGTGTAGTGGATGAGCGCGAGAGAAACACCAGGGGTGATTAGTTTTGACAAACGTCCATCATATAATATAGACTAGGCATATTGGCACAGAATGGACCCGGCCACACCTGTTTCATATCCCCAAGACTTGAGCTTAAGCCTTTGGCAGGGTGCTAGCACGCTTGGTGTTTCTTTGTACTGTGATGACTTCCTTGCATTTTGTGCACTTGATCTCTGCAGTATCAGTGAAACCTTCAACCCCGAGGATTCCTCCAAAGTAGACACGATTTTCCGTTTCGCAAGAGGGACATGGGCCATACAAAATCTCATTGTCCGTGAAGATAAAGTTGTCAGTGATAATCTTGGCACCATTGTAGACAAAGGGAGAACCAAGAGCAATAAGGAGAACTGGGTTGATACGGATGAATGGCTCGATGAATTCAAAGCCGAGTCCTAACCAAACAACGAGAAGGATGGCTCCAGCAGGAAGATACAGCAAATTAGATCTGAAATTGTCCTCCTGGAGTGTCACCTTGCAGACTCCTGTATCAATGTAGCATTTTGGTTCACTATCAACAGCAATCTGGGATCCAGCTTCCTTCAATTCAGTCTTCAAAGCATCAAACTCTGTATCGGACAAGATTGGTGCCCCCTTCATGTAAGCTTGCATAGCTGACAAGTACTTTGTTTCTTCCCGATTCAAGACAACCAATTTGGAACCACTCCAAGACAAATCTTCCTTGAGAGCATCGAATTCTTCATCAGGAAGAAGTTGTCTGCCATTGATGTAATAAGACTATCAATTTCAAAAAAGTGACGTGTTAGATGCAGTTGCATCAACTGGAAAATGCAAATCGGAAACCAAACTGAAAAATATTGTATTGTCGCAACCAACATACCTGCAAGGCGTCAAGGAAGATGCGCTCCTTCTCGGCAACTGTCAAGCGAATCATTTCACCGGTATCTTCATCGAGTTGGCAGTATTCCTCATCTGGGATACAGTCGGCTGCATCTCTGTTGGTCTCGAAAAATCGTCCACTCTTTTCATCAAAGACAACCTCCTTTCTGGCACTGGTCATTTGAAATTTGTCCAAACTTTTTTCCTCCTTGGATTCTGGGGCTGGAGCTGGATTAGCGGCCTCTTCTTTTTTATCATCCTCCGACATGAAGAAACTGTTCAAGGAAGTAACAGATTTAACTCGTGGAGCGGTTGCCTGCATTGGGGCTGTGAAAGCTTCAGCGTCATATGACAACAGAGCAACTACGGTCGCCAAGAGTGCAGGTTTAAGAGAGATGAACGCCATTATGTAGTGTAGACGGGATGAAACAAGGGTAACTCTCTGTAAGATCGCGTGGAAGAGTGCAATAAAAACACGCTGGATGGATTCAACCAATGTTTCCGATCTTCGTGGCAGTCATGCGGTTCCCCCACTTTACATACGTCATCCATCGCACCCAAACCTTTTGGGTTGAAGATCCACAGTCCCGGGGAATGAGAATCATCTCCAATCACGGGCTCGAAATCGAATGGGTCGGCTCCAAACCCTTCTACGCGATTGATCTGAGCAGACGTGCCAAGGGGTGCAAGTTTCAATTGTATGAGATTCTACGAAAAAGCTACGGTCATTTGGTACGGTACGTGAGATCGTTGACAGGAATTCTTTTCTCTGAGTTGGTGCCATCAAATCTTATTTCAAGATTATTGGTGTAGTCATATCAACAGCATCTGCAGATTCTTTCTCAAGAGGAAAAGGATTGAAGAGTAAATGATAATACGGGTATTGACCTAGATCTATTACGAATTATGAAGAAGCCAACGATGATAATAAAGCCAATGGACAAGGAAGAGAAGCAGAAAAAGTTTCAGGAGGCCATTGCCAAGCGTTTGATCTCTGTTGTTGATCCAGAAAAGGAGGTAGGTTACAAGTGTCAACGCTTGTTGTGGTGAGACTATGCCGAGAATGGGGAAGCTGCATGCAGTGATTCAATGTGAAGTCAAACTATGCGATGAAGTCTTCAAAACATATCAGATTCTTTGGTATTCTGTGCTTATAATGTCCGAAGATGAACCATCGATGATTGAGAACATTTGATCACCGCTTCGCCTTATCTTTTCTGTATTATGGACCGTCAGACACGAACACCAGCTGACACTTTTCATTTGATTAGGGTGGCAATATGGAGTACAAACGCCAGTTGCATAACTGCTCTGGAGAACGCCTGGAAAAACTAAAGACTCAGATGTCGTACCGTCTCGACGAGGGACGCGGAGGCTGCGTCTACCGCATTGGAGTGGAGGATGATGGTTGCCACTCATTGCTCGACTACAAAGCTTGCAAGGAGACTGCCAAGACCCTAGAATTGCTGGCACGCAGCCTCAATGCCGTAGTGCTCGAACTAAAGATGATTCAAGGTGAGGTGAAGAAAAACAGCGATGGCAAAGCTAGCAAGTTGGACGGAACACCAGTGGAATTTGTGGTACCATCCATGTATGGAAACGGTAAAGATCAGTCGCATAATGACTTTGACGATGACAATGAGGAAAAGGTAGAGGCAGATGGCAATCTTCCCAAAGAGCTCAAGATTGATTTAGGAGTTTACACTCGAGCGGAGATGACACTTCAGCGTATTGAAACACATCTTTTGGATCCTTCCCCTGTCTCCCTCTCCAATATTGCTAAAGAGAATGCGAAGGCAGACGATGCTAGTAATCCAAAGGAGTCTACCAATTCGGTCGCTGATACGTTGTCCAAGCGAAACATTCGAGTGGCGGTTGTCGGAAACGTTGATGCTGGAAAGAGTACCATGATTGGAACTCTTACATCCTCTTTATTGGACGATGGCCGTGGAAGCAGCCGAACATCCATCATGAAGCATCGCCACGAGATTGAAAGTGGTCGTACATCTACATCTTCCACACATCTTATGGGATTCCGTTCAACTGGGCAGGCTATCGGAGCAAAGGATAATGTTCGCGCCAATCGACGAAAGACTGACGATGAGGTTGCCAAGGAGTCCTACAGAGTCATTTCATTGATGGATCTTGCTGGACACGAAAAATATTTGAAAACAACGTACGTATTTTGCCATCTTGATATGCAACTGCCTCGTATAGTATCTACAGCTCAATTACTTTTCTGTACTCCGTTTGAATTCACAGCATCCATGGTGTTGCATCTGGAATGGCTGACTATGCACTCATTCTTGTAAATAGTCGTCACAACCCAACACATATGACCCACCACCATTTGAATCTTTGCGTCAGCTTTGGTATCCATGTGATCATTGTCTTCACGAAAATTGATGGTTGTCCTGGTAAGTAGTTTGAATTGATGTTTTCCAGGCTTTTCAAACGTGCATTCCCTGATGTCTAATTTCTTCCGACTAGACCACGCTTTTAAGACTTCCAAGTCGGAGGTTAACAAGCTATTGAAGGCACCCGATATTGGAAAGATGCCTTTCGAGATTAAGAGCGAAGAGGATATTGAGAAAGTGATGGGAAAGATGAATACCTTGGCCCCGATGATTAGCACATCTTGCGTGACTGGTCAGGGTATTGACCTCTTACAGAAGCTGCTATTCGCATTACCCAAGCGACGAAAGCATGAGAAGAAGGTTGAGCGCCCATTTGAGTTTCTTGTCGATGATATCTTCAATGTGCCTGGAGTTGGATCTGTTGTCTCTGGATTTGTCAACGCTGGTCAGCTTGCAGTGGGATCAAACGCCCATGTCTATGTTGGTCCAACTGACGATGGCACATTTGTAAAGACGGTCGCCAAGTCGGCTCACATTGCACGCATTAGCACAAATCATGTGACATCTGGACAGTCCGCCTGCCTTGCATTGGCATTGAGCAAGGACTTGCGAAAGAAGTTGCGACGCGGAATGGTTGTGCTCAAGGAGTCTCCCTCGTCCACAAAGGAATTTGAAGCTGAGATTTGCGTATTGAAAGGAGTGGGAACCACTATCCGAAAGTCATACCAAGCTTATGTTCACATTCTGAATGTCAGACAGAGTGCCTATGCGCGAAAGATTGAGATAGTGAAGGCTGTTCCTGGTATTCCATCCAGTCACACTGCTCAGTATGGGGAGGAGAACGAAGTCGTGTTGCGACCCGGTTCTCGGGCAAAGGTGCGATTCGAATTTGCACAGCGCCCCGAGTATATTCGCCCTGGTATGCGTATGCTCTTCCGCGATGGTCGTGTCCGCGGTGTAGGACTAGTAACTGCTGTTCCAACAGTTGATCCCATTCGATGATGATGATGATGGGGCAATTGAAAAAATAATCTTGTATTGACTGGGGGTTAACTGGGCGCTGTCGTGAAGTAAGGAGTAAATTTTACTCAAATCCATGTTATATTAATAATTCATTTTTGGATCTGAATTTGTCTCTGTAAAAGAATTACTGCTGAGCGTTTGAACTTTGAATGTCCGTCTTCTTTGCAGTCACTATGCCCTGTGGTGGACCGACCCGAACACAGGAAAATTTCTACACTTGTGACTCAACAGGAAGACTGAATTATTGTGAACGGGATCATAGTGACCCTCACGGATAACCCAATGGCTGCTAAGCAGAATCAAATTTCATTTAGCTTTTACTAATAAAGCTTAAGATATTTCTTCTTCAATCCTATTATCATTGAGTGACAGTAACTTTCGAATTACTTGGTAGTGCATTGGAAATTCCATTTTGATTGTTGAAGTTCCGAATTCCTTAGAACGGTTTGAAGTGGCGATGCTGACGTATCTTGGTCAGAAACTGATGGAGAGTGAAAAGAAACATTCGAGTCATCATACGACGAGACATCACTAGTATCAAACGACGAGACATCACTAGTATCAAGATTCAAGCATAATCATTCTTCCGTGGAGTAACTCTCTTATCCACAACACCAAATTACACACCAGAATACTGCAAAATGCCGCTCATTCATTCGTCCGTCGGAGTATCGAGGAAACACTACTACGCTTTTCTCTTGGCCATCTTCCTTTGCCATCATAGAATCCATGGTTTTCAGTTATCCATGGTCGCATCAAGGTCTCCCATGGGCAGAAATTCAATTCCAAGCGCCGGAAAATCGCCAATGTCACAACGATCACAACCAGATGCATCAGATAGAGTCACCTCATCCCTGATATCGCAGCTAGCCATAGGAGCTTTGAAATTGCGACTCCACAGTCAAACACACGTTGCTTGTGATGTAATGGCGAGCCCCTCTACGGTTCTTCGTGGCCAAATCGGTCCGGTTACAGTACAGGGACGAGGATGGGGAAGCCGTCTTGGTTTGACATGCCGTGTCATAGAAGCAACTGTCGATCAATGCGAACTTGATATGGGTCGTGTTGTTGCCAATCGAAAACTCGTTCTGACGGTTCCTGGTAAGTCATCCTTTATCAATCATTCGCTCAACCTTTGAGCACAATATGGTATTCTAACGATCTCCACTGCATTGTAGCCGAAGGACGAGCAATGGTTGCGTTGAATGCAGTTGATTTTGGGAACTTTATTACGCACCCATTGATGAAGCCGCCTGGCATTGTTGGAAGTGCCTCAGAGGATGACAATCGACTGGAATTTATGAAAGAGAATGTGTCGCTAGATCCAAAGAAAGGGGTTGTAACATTTTTTGGAAAATATATGGGGCAAACATGGCAATTCACGCTGCAACGAGGATCGGACGAACAGAAGGCTTTGATCAAGGCAACTCTACAGAAGTCGTCGGAGAGTGACACGTGCACTGATTGGGAAAATGTAGCTCGTCAGTTGGCAGCGCTAACCTCAAAATTCTTCAACGAGATGGTGTTCGAACTTGATGGAACTTTCTTGTCTTTTTCAGATATGATGCTAACAGACAAGGGGAACGAGCCAACCATCATGCTATCTCTAGGGATCTTGGTGAAGAAGTTCCCATCACCAGGGTTGGAATTCTGAGCCTTTCCGAAAAGAATTCACGGACAGAAATTGCCATGAATCAACCAAGTGTTCGATTGGTTGCTTCGTATGCTGGAATATGTTGGGCATTGGTCTCTCCGAATGGAAAAAGAACCATCAATTGTCGATTCGTATACAAACATGAAACGCACAAAAAGTACGTGCCAATATGTAATAGAACTCACTCTGTACACTTTTAAATAATTAGATATACATCATGAAGAAATTTTTTACTTCTTGCCGCCAAGCTTCTTTCCTTTCCCCTTTCTTCTGGACTTCAAAGCTTTGTTTATGGATTTCTTGGACGCACTGTCTGCTTCCGCAGCATTTGGATCCAATTTTCGAACCAAGAAATCTGGTGCAACCAACCAGTCTTGTCCGCCAGTCTTGGGCCAAACAAAACGGTTGAAGTGGTAGAAATGACCAGAAAGAATACCTGTGATGTGTGGAACAGCAGCAGACGCACTTTGGGCCTGCAGAACATCAGCCGCCATCAATCCATATGGAAGAGACCAGTATGGAACTTTGAAAATCAACCAGTTGACCTTTTCCGTGGGCATGGCTCGACTCAGAACATGAAGCATGGCAGTGATCATTGAGGCGGCAAAGAACGGTTGCCCAGTAACGATACTCAAGCAAGACAGCAGTACCATTTGAGTCAACAAGAACACCAAATATTGCGGTGCACCATATGCACGTTCCAGCGATGTTCCGTATTGGAACAAATAGTATCCACTCATCAGCCAGCTAATGGATGGTTTTCCCAAGAAAGAAGCAGCCGAAATGAATCTCCAATATTGCATACCAAATAGAGTTGACATCGGATCAAGCGCAAGGACTGCCTGTGTGATTTCATCTCCAAGGACTAGCCCAAGAAGAGTACAAAATCCAACCATGGTGATATAAATCCTGGTCAATGGTAGCATAGATTTGTATTTTGTCATCAAATCACCAGCAGCACTCTTTGTTTTATCTTTGCTTCCAACTTTCTTCTTTCCTGTGACTGTCTTGGAAGTCTTTGACAGAGACGCTGTTCGAGACTTTCGTTTGGCACCTCCTCGGATGTCAAGAGTAGTTTGAAGGAAAGATTTTTCCCTGAAAGATCGCAGTCTCAATTCTTGCGATATAGGCATGGCAGCCTCATTTTGAGGCAAGGTTGAAGCGAGCAAAAGAACGCTCAAGATCGTTGACTTCACTGCTAATCTCATGTTTGTTGTCGGTGTCGAATATTTCTTGTGATGAACGTTGTCAAAATGATGGGTATTCCACGTGTTGTTGAACGGGTATGCGGACGGACTGTGGTGACGACTGTCCGGTGTCCGGCACCGGCACACGGTTGTGACGTCAATGTGATATCCTCCGAGACCAAGACTAAGTCAGAAAATCTCAAGATCTTCGATTACCTTCGGCTGATGCCAATACGAGAACGCGAACGCTTTACCTCTACCTCTACCTATCACTATAACTTACAGCACCGGTACAACAACAGCTTGCAAAATGAAAATCTCTTCCACCTTTTCCATCCTTTTCTTCGCTAATGCGGTGAACGCATTCCAATCCAGTTTCATGTCTGGATCCAGCGCTGTGTCAGGTGTCAGAAGTGGATCGTCTCTTTGTATGAAGACTGTCGCAGTTATCGGAGCATCTGGATTGACTTCCACCGAGTGCATTTACCAAGCCTTGAAGGATGGTCACAAGGTTGTTGGACTTACAAGAAACGCCGCCAATGTCAAGATCCCCCAGGGGTCAGGTGGTGCTGATGCAGATAAGCCCTTCAGTGATCCAAACTTGAAAATTATTTCCGGTGATGTCACAAAGATGAGTGATGTCGAAAAGGTGTTTGAAGATGAAATTGATGGAGTCATTGTCGCGCTTGGAGGAAAGACTAAGGATGTTGGAGAAACTATGCTTACAGATGGTACCAAAAATGTTATTGCCGCCATGAAGAATAAGGGAGTCAAGAGACTCTCTGTCGTTACTTCCATTGGTGCTGGTGATTCCGAAAACCAAGCTCCTTTCTTCTTCAAGGTGCTGATGTGGACTGCCATGAAGAAGATCTTTACCGATAAGAACAACCAAGAAGAAGTAACCAGAAACAGTGGATTGGATTACTGCATTGTCCGTCCAGGCGGCCTCACTGTCGAAGAACCAACTGGAGTTATCAATGTGATTGATGGAGAAGCCGGTTCCATCCCTCGTGCTGACGTTGCTGCATTCTGCATCGGTGCTGTCCTTGACCCCGACTTCAAGTACATCGGACAAGCACCTTGCATTTCAAGCGTTGGAGGAACCAGCTGGACCAAGGATCGTTCTGCTGCCGCTCGAGGGGAGATGTAAGTAGTCAAACATAGCTCATTTGGTCAAAAAAAAAATAGAACGATTTACTTTAGAGATACAATTTCGGCAGTGTACTGCACTGTTCTTGGTCTGATCCATGACTTTTCATTCGACCAAATAACCGTGCATGCGTGGTCAGTCGTGAAGGCAAGTTCCGTCTCGCCACCTGCTCCACCGGTAATGATTCGATCCTTGACCAAGTACGATGCATTTTTGTATTCTGCTTTTGTTTCGCATTTTCCCTTCGCAATACTGAAGTGAATATTGTGGTCTGAAGGCGAGCAGTCAAACTTCCAGCGCAGAACGACAAAACGAGCATCCACTTTCATAGCATGCTCACCCAACTCAATAACAAAATTTCCAATCTCTCCTGCCCCAATGACCATGGATCCATTCTTTTTGAACAAGAGATTCTCGTCGACAGCTGAGTCTCGTCCCTGAAATTGACGAAGCTTATTCTCGAGAATCTGGCATCTCTCGTTCACAAGTCTCTTGGATTCGGCACTTGCCAGTGCCCACTCTTGCAGAGCTTGTACTTGTCCTTCCAATTGCTGGACCTTTTGTTTATCCGTCTTATGCGAGTTGAAGGCTTCTTCACCTGCTGCAGCTCGAGAATTGGCCTTTGCATTGGCTTTCAAAACTAGATCAATTTCCATTTGCATTTCTTCCAATGATGCTGCTTTGTCTTGCATGGCTCGAGATGCGTGTTCGGCCTCCATTTTTGCCATTTTCAGCTCCATTTGAAGTCGGTCCACCTTTTGGAGAGCTACATCGCGTTCTGCTTGAAGGGTTTGAGAGGACGACTCCAATTGGGTGGAACGAGACATCATTGCAGAATTTAATTCTTCCAGCTTTTCAATTCGATTTTTTGCTTCACCAAGCTCATTCATCAGCATGGAATCAAGGGCAGATTCTTGCTCGTCCGGCGGAGCAAGAGGTGCGGAAGCGGAGGTTTGCTCTCCTCCAGATTGGCCAACACTCAATATAGCCTTGTCAAAATTGGATTCAAAGTCCATAAGCAAATCAACTAAGTTTTCAATGAGAGTCAGTTAGAAAGCGTTTGTATGCAATGAATGAGCGTGGATCGTGCACTTACGATGAGAAGGGCGATTCTGAAGTTTCTCAAGCCGTTGGTTCAACCTTTCAATTTCTCTCAATGCCTGTGACAAACGTTTCTGCGAAGCTTCAAAGTCGACCTTCGTTTCTCTTTGCGCCTTGGCTGATCGACCAAGCAATGATTTGAGTTTATCAACTTTTTCTTTCAATGCAGTATGTTCCTTGAGAATAGCCTTGAGCGCTTTACAGTCAGCTACGGTTATCTTCTTGGAGTTGACCAAGATGGCTAGCTCCCTTCTGGCATCATCTAGTGAATTGGATGTCTTTGACGCCGCAGCACCTTTCGCAGCAGTCGATGCTGTAGAAGGTGCGAGAGCTGGCGATGTTGTTGCAGCTGGACCTGGAGCTGGAGCTGGAGCCGGTGATGTTTCGGGCGCTTCAGGTGGCGTGGGGGGTTCAGCTTCTTCACTTGTTAGTATTGCTGTTTCAGTCGCTGCCGAAGGAACTAATTCCTTTTCCTCTGGAATTCCAGAAGTCGCTTCTCCGGCAGAAGTTTCTGTTTCTTCCATCACGGAAGCGACGGGGTCTTCTTCAGAAGCTCCTCTACCTTCCATAGCTGCAATGTACACTACAGTTTCAACTATGCTTATTCAATTTCAAACCGCATGACCGATTTTTCGTTACAGGTTACAGACCTTCCAAGGTCGGATGAGTCGATCCACCAATGATTTCATCTTGCCTTATGCTTGCATATTTTTAGTCAGTCGGGTCGACGATGAGATCTGACACAGGGATGATGTGGTTGATTTCTTGCCACGATTTTAATCGAAATGAGAACAGATAACATAATGATGATGCAACCTTCCTTTCCGACTTAGTCATTGAAAATAGAACACAGAATAATTTCAGCCCTCTCTGCACTCACAAAAAGGAGGATGATGAGACGAAGGATAGGCTTGATAACATGTATAATAGGTTGTGCAGCAGTGCAAGGCGCAGACCTGAGACCGAAGCCACAATTTGTTCCGAGTATATCACAAGCTCACGCAGCGAAGATCCAAAAACACAAATATGAGACCATCCAAGCAAATATAGTCCCTTCTAGTCTAAACAACAGCGCCGTCAGTGACAATGCGGACAGTATTGAGTCAATCGAAACATCGCCTTCCAAAACTTCCAATCAGAATCGGTGGTTCCAGATAACTGACTTGGATAGACAAATATTATCTACAACATTGCCTCTTTCGGCAATTTTTGCGATCATGCCGTTGGCAAGTGCGATCAGTCTTTTCTGGGTGAATCGTCTCGGAAACACCCTATCAGTAGCAGGTCAAGCTGCTGCCAACCAGGTGTACTCTTCAGCATTCTGGTTGTTTTCTTTCCTTCCAAGCGTAACCGCGACCCTTGTTTCCAAGGCACATGCTAATGGGGATCTACAAGCTACACAAGACGCCGTATGTCAGGCATTTCTTCTTGCATTACTCATAAGCGTGTTTGGCGCATCTTTCATGTTCTTCTTCCCCAATAAAGCGTTGGCGTCTATATTAAAACGTAAGTCTGAAGAGCTTCTTGTCGGATTGGTTCAGCCCTCTTTGGATGTTAACCTTTTTTCTCATTTGCTCTTGAAAAGCCGATTCGCCTACCCTAGAAATTGCTAGACCGTATCTGAAAATAAGGGCGTTTTCTTTTGCACCGATGTTGATATCATTTGTTGGCTTTTCTGCATTTCGGGGAACGATGGATGTTCAGACGTCAGTCAAAGTTACATTGGCTGCAAATCTTGTCACAATGCTATTGGAGCCAATTTTGTTGCATGTTCTGAAGATCGGAATACGGGGAGCTGCATTCGCTAGCCTATGCGGTGAGATAGTATCGGCCTCGGTTTACTTGAAACTATTGACGAAGCGAAGGTTTCTGGCATGGAAGAATGTGTTCAGAATACCTTCATGGGCGTCGGTCGCACCACTTATAAAGGGCGGAATATCCTTGCAGCTCCGAAGTTTTTGTATGAATTTCACATTTCTGATGGTTGCACGGGTCATTCAATCCCTTGACGATACCGGAGTTTCCGCATCAGCACACGCCCTTGCTGCCCAAACATTCCAATTGGGAGGAATAGTGCTTGGTGCATTAGGAATGGCGTCACAGACGATGGTACCAAAAGCACTAGCGGCCACAACAACGAATGAAGACGGTTCGCTATCGTCTTCCAATGAGGCTAAACCATTGATCCGAAGATTGCTGATGTGGGGATCTAGTCTTGGATTCGTCATTGGATTGGCCCAACTGGCTTTCCTTCCTGCAATTTTGAAGTCGAGTCCATTGGCTGAAGTCAGAGAAGCTGCTCGAGTCCCTGCATTAATTGCTATTTCATTCCAAGGAGTGAACGGCATTGTCAGTGTTGGCGAGGGCATCATGATGGGCAGCGGACATTTTACATGGCTGTCAATCAATATCGCCTTGGCAGCTCTTGGATACCTAGCAACACTTCGGGTCTTTCCAAAACGTTTCGGTCTCGCAGGGGTATGGGTTTGTCTATCATGCTTTACATCGATTCGGTTAATTGGCGTACTAGTTCACCTCTATGTTCGCAGTCCGAAGGAGGAAAGAGCAAGAAACAATCTATCATAGTCGAGCAACTGATCTAACTCCTACTTTTACGATTATACGAAGCGCTACATTCGCGAAGCAAGCTGCATTCCGAGCATACTATTTCTTACATTGAAAGGAGATCAAGTTTATAATATCTTACGATAACTTCTTTCTCAACCCTCTTGTGATCTGGTGAGCACAGAAGCTATTTGCTCGTCACGAATGGACTTTGCTATTCATAGATCGGGCAAAATGTACCCATTCCAGCCTCGCAGAACACTCCAGGATCATTGTATCGGCAATTTTTGTTCAGGCTATCGACCTCCTTCATATCTGCCTCGTCCAATTCAAAGTCTAGCACGTCTCGATTTTCCTTCATGCGACCCTCATTGGACGTCTTCGTCAATGGAAAAGTGTTCCGCTGCAAGGCCCATCGGACCAGCACCTGGGCTGGTGATTTCTGCTTTGCTGCAGCGATCTTAGTGATGACGGGATTCTCCATCAAAACATCTTCTTTTGTCGCCATGTTGAGCTCCAAGTATGACGAGGCTCCAAAAGTAGAGAAGGCGGTTACATTCATCCCGGCTTCGTGCGCAAATCGGATAAGTTTTTGCTGAGAGTTCTGCGGATGAAGTTCAATCTGAAGGGTTGATGGTGGAATACGACAAGTACTCAGAATTTGCCGAATGAGTTGCGTCGAAAAGTTGCATACCCCAATAGTCTTGACAAGTTTTTTGTCGACTTGGTCTTCCAATGCCTTCCACGTTGCACACATATCGTTGTTAACCAAGACCATCTTGCCATCCATGTTTGTCCATTCAGGTGGATACTTTGATTCAAATGGAACAAACTCCATCGAAATGGGAAAGTGAATCAGATATTCGTCCAAGTAGGAGAGCTTCAAGTCCTTTAGAGTTTTCTCTAATGCTAGAGGTACGTGCTCAGGTTTGTGGTAAGTGTTCCTTTGGTTTGTCGAACGATCAGTCAATGTTTAGAATTCGAGACGTCAGTTCTTTTTTTTTTCTTACCATAGTTTGCTGGTCACAAAAAGATCTTCTCTCTTACACAATCCATCGGTAATCGCTTTGGAAATCCCCTGGCCGACTTCCTCCTCATTTGCATAATCACAGGCA